GTCAGTTTGTATAAAAAGCTTTAAATCAACAAAATATTTTAAGTACCATATTATAGGTCTTTGAAGTATTTGAAGACCATCTATCTAAAATTTATCTAACCTAAAAAACATACCTAGCACATCTACAAATTTGATTGTTATAAATGACTAATTACTTCCCAATGTTTCTTGATCATCCTATACAGTTTATAATTATAGCTTTCAAAAACAAGAATTTTACCTTACATTTTAAATAAAGCAAAGAAATTGTTCTTGCCTTTGACTGCTGGCAACGTGCTGTGTAGATTGGACATGCAGGACACACAGGAAAGTGACTGTTGAACTTTGCCAATACAAGGCAGGACAGTCTTTCAAAATTCCTGCTTCACAGAAGAGTCTGTCAGATATTCTGCCAGACACAGAGAAAAGTGACTGATGAACTTTGCTAATACAAGACAGTACAGTCCTTCAAATTTCCTGCTTCACTAAGAAGTCTGCCTGATACTCTAGGCCTGTTGGCTAAAGATTGATGCCTCAAGGAACTTTGGGTGACTGTCCAGGCAGTCAGATGTCTCTATCATTTCTAGAGTTTTGGAAGTTGTTTGCAATGCACTTTTTATTTACCCAAATAATATTATTCTTCTGGGGTCTTTGACAGAGTTGAAGACTAGATAATTATAGTTGCAGTCTTCCTTGTTATGATAGAGAATAAATTAGGTATAAAACTTTAGATTCGTTAAGATAAGATAGATAATGGAATATTTTAATTTACTAGACAAAAATGAACGGGAATTCATTACACTGTGAATGTAATCTTACTTGATAATTGTTCTTATTGTATACAGTCTTATTACGTTAAAGTTAAAATTTTTCTTTTTTTTTTTAAATTTAGACAGAAAGGGAAAAATGTTGGGGAGTATTATTTTAAGGTGTGCTACTTTTGTTTCTGTTGCATTTGTTTAACTCTGTGAAGCTGTGATACCTAGCCTGTCTAAAACACCTGATGGTCTAATAAAGAACTGAACGGCCAGTAGTAAGACAGGAGATAGGTGGGGCTGGCAGGCAGAAAGAATATATAGGAGAAATCTGAGAAAGAAAAGAAGTAGCCAGAGGAGGAGGATTCCAGGGGCCAGCTACCCAGCTACACAGCCGGTCATGGAGTAAAGAATAAGATTTATAGAAATAAGAGAACGGGAAAAGCCCAGAGGAAAAAGGTAGACAGGATTAATTTAAAGTTAAGGAAAGCTAACAAGCAACAAGCCAAGCAAAGGCCAGGCATTTATAAGTAATAATAAGCCTCTGTGTGTGATTTATTTGGGACTTGGGTGGTGGGCCCCCCAAAAGAGCCAAAAAGCCAACAACAATTGGATGACCAGTTAGGGATCATGCCTGGGGAAGACTATTTTTCATGCTCTCAACATTCTTTAGTTGCCTGTTTTGAGGTGTAGTTCCATGAAATTTCTCCCTTCCATGTTCTTGTTCAAGTCATGTTTAGGCAGCCGTATTGGTGAAGTATCGTGCTTGAAATTTCCCTGTCATTTCTCTGAGATTTGAAAGCAAATTTCCTGGTCCTCTGGCTCTAACAGTCTTTTCTCCCCTCTTGCTTGATGTTAAAGGGAAAACAGTTATAAACCTATTTCAGGGACTTAAAGTTCTTGTCATATAGGTCCTTCACTTGCTTGGTTAGTGTTACCCCAAGGTCTTTTATATCATTTGTGGCTATTGTAAAGGGTGATGTATCTCTGATTTCCTTCTCAGCCTGTTTGTCAATTGTATATAGGAGGGCTACTGATTTTTTTGAGTTGATCGTGTATCCTGCTATGTTGCTGAAGGTGTTTATAAGCTGTATCAGTTCCTTGGTTGAATCTTTGGGGTCACTCAAGTATACTATCATGTCATCTGCAAATAGGGAAAGCTTGACTTCTTCCTTTCCAATTTGTATCCCCTTAATCTCCTTATGTTGTCTCATTGCTCTGGCTAGAACTTCAAGTACTATATTGAATAAGTATGGGGAGAGCGGACAGCCTTGCTCAGTTGAGAGACAGCCCGAACTGACCTACTCTGGTGATAAGATGGCCAAACACCCTAATTTTTGTGCTAGAAACCCCATCCAATGACTAAGGGAACTGGATGCAGAGATCTACAGCTAGGCCCCAGGTGGAGTTCCAGGAGTCCAATTGGTGAGAAAGAGGAGGGTTTATATGAGCGAGAATTGTTGAGACCAAGGTTGGATAAAGCACAGGGACAAATAGCCAAACGAATGGAAACACATGAACTATGAACCAATGGCTGAGGGGCCCCCAACAGGATCAGGCCCTCTGAGTAGGTGAGACAGTTGATTGGCTTGATCTGTTTGGGAGGCATCCAGGCAGTGGGACCGGGTCCTGTGCTCAGTGCATGAGTTGGCTGTTTGAAACCTGGGACTTATGCAGGGTCGCTTGGCTCAGCCTGGGAGGAGGGGACTGGACCTCCCTGGACTGAATCTACCAGGTTGATCTCAATCCTGGGGGAGTCTTTGCCCTGGAGGAGATGGGAATGCGGGGTGGACTGGGGAGAAGGGGAGAGGAGTGGGAGGGGGGAGAACAAGGGAATCCGTGGCTGATATGTATAATTAAATTATATTGTAAAATAAAATAATAAAAAAATAGCAAAAAAAAAAAACCCAAAACAACCCTATTTCATTGGTGAAATTTCAAAGGAGATAACAGAGTCAGAAACCCAACCAGCATGTAAAAATGCCACATGATACTCAGTATCCCTAGGAATGAACATTGATTTGACATTCAGAATCAGTTGGAATGTTTGCTGTAGTAAGAGGTTTTTTAAAATTATTAGTTCAGTAGCCAAAAAAAAAAAAAAAAAAAAAAAAAAAAAATCTGATAAAATTAAGTAACATTCATGATAGGAAAAAATGCCTGACAAGCTAGAAATACAAAGAAATTTCTTTGAACCAGTTTAGCTTTGCCTATACATACGTTTGTCCAGGGATGACCAATAGGGAATGGATGGTGTATTTTGGAGCCTATCCCTGGAGGTGTCAGATTCTCATTCTCTCAGCAAACATTGACCACCTATAGCCATTCATGTCACCTATATTTGTCATTATGCTGAGTTTGTTTATGTGACCATATTGTTAAAAGCTCATGGGTCAGCTTCCTTGTCATGTATAGAAGACACTATATCTGACGTAGGTCTTGGTCTTCAAGCTCTTAAAATCTTTCTGACTCCCCTTCCACAGTTTTCCCTGAGCCATAGATGTTGATGTTGAACTGGAGTTCTGATCTATCAGTTGGATTTGGGCATCCCACAGTCAGTTATTATCTGTATTTTGACCAATTGTGGATCTCTGTAATAGTCTGTATCTGGTTGCAAAAAGAAGCTTCTTTAGTGAGGGGTAAGAGATGCTATGGTTATTTGTGGGTATAAAGACAAATGTTTAGAATACAGTTAGAAATTATATTGGCCTAGGAAACTTATCAGTAGAAAGTTTTCCTCCCATCTGTGACCCTCCATCAATGGGAAGTTGGCACAATTTACAGTACCAAGCATGAATCACTTCGTGTTAAATTGGCTTAAGTCCAATTAATAGCTATTGGTTGCCCTAAGATATATGTGCCACTGTTGCACCATTGTGGATAACTTGCTGAAACAGTCAGTGTTGTGATTTGTAGAACTGCTGACTGTTCTCTCCCTTGGTAGTTTGCATACCACCTTCTGATACTATAAGAGTTGATCCTTAGGGAGAAGACATTCAGATCAGTTCCAGCTTAATTCCTAGAAAATCTTGCATCCGAAGTATGTGGTGTTTTCAGCTGTAGTGCTTTACCTTCAAGTTCTGGGAGGCAACTACAAGCCTTGGGTGTCTGTCTTGTTGGACTCCTGTGATCAACAATTCAAAAGGAGGGTTCCCCTTCCTGAAACAAATGTTTTTGCTGGTCTATGGCCCTTGTGGGAGCATTATCACCCCGAGTGGCATAAATTTATTTAAATTATTTATATATTCATACACATACATATATATTTTTAAGTAAACATAAAATAATGTTTTCTTGTTTTCAGTCATCTTTAATGTTCTTGATCTGTCCTCTGTCTTAGGTGTTCTTTATCCCTCCTTCTCTGTCCAGCAGTGTTTCTCTTTCCTGCCCCTTTCCCAGATCAAGTCTTCCTCTCTATATTTTCCATTTCCCCTTTTATAGCACCTTTTTCCTATTATGCCCCTCTTTGTAGCTTTCCCCACCCCCCAGCCCCTTGCACCTGGTCCCATTTTACTTTCCTGGTTTCAGCAGTATGGTTTCTCCAGACTGTATATTCATATCTAAAATTCATATCTAAAGCTAGGGTTCAGAAATAATAGAGAACATGCTGTTTCTGGGTCTGAGTCACCTTATTTGGTATAATAAGTTCTAGCTCCATCATCGCGTTACCTGCAAAATTCATGATTGAATTTTTCTTTACAGCTGACTAGTATTCCATAGTGTATCCATACCACATTTTCATTATTCATTTGTCAGTGTAGGACATTTGGGCTGTTTCCATTTCTTTGCTATTGTGAATAGAGCAGCAATGAACATGGCTAAATAAGTATCTGTGGAGTGTGATGTCAATTCCTTTGGGCATGTGCCACAGAGTGTTACAGCTGAGTCAGATGGTAGATTTATTTTTCCTGCTTTGAGAATTCTCCACACTGATTTCCATAATGGTTACATAGTTTTGCAATTCCACCAACAGTGAATGATTGTTACCCTTTCCCCACATTCTCATCAGCATTCTTGTCTCAAATATTAGGTTATGCTTGACAGTACTTTAGCATGGATTAATAAATGCATTTGAGTATTGTAATTACTTTACAATCTTAATTTGACTCACTATACAGTCACTACATAATTAGTGAACTAGCTAGCTCACTTTAAACTGAGTGAAAATAACACTTATAATATTGGTAAACTATTTTCTGGTTGACATAGAATTTACAGTAAAGCTTTACCTAGAACTAATACATTTTTCTCTCTTTGAAAACACAGGTTTTGAGAGTATTTTAGAAGGGCTTTATGGACCACGGCTACGAAGAGACCTCAGTTTATTTGAAGGTAATTAACATTTTTTTAATTTTAAAGTTACAACCTCTTACCCTGTTTAACAAAGTTGTTCTAGCAAAACTATATAGTAAACATAAATTTATGATCACTTTTAGTTTGGCAATTTTTTTAAAATAATCCAAATATTCTCTGTTATATATTTCATTACATGATATGTATTATAATTTTTTGAAAGGCACAGTGGCTTCAAATAGAAAATGAAGTTTGTCTTCAGCTCAGTAATATAATTCATTTTTATGTGTCTATTATTTTATAAATTGCATATCCTGACCTATTCTTAAATCGAATTTAAATTAAAAAATTACACAAATGTCAAATCAAACTAATCAAAATAAAATACTTAAATTGAATTTAATAAATGTTCTGTGAAATAAATGTCTGCTAAAAGTTGTTACTTCAATTTTTATTTTAACTTTTTAAAAGTTTTCATACAAGTTTATATTGTATGTTCAGTGCATTTCCTGCCCCCATGCCACCTACCTTCAATCTTCACTCCCCTCCTTTCTCCTATAAGTTCCCTTTGTTCCCCTAGACAGTTTACTTCATACATTGCTTTATCTCTATAAATTCTAAGAACCACAAGTGAGAGAAAACATACAGTTTTGTCTTTCGGAGACTAGCTGAATATACTCGAGATGATTAACTCTGATATCTATTTTTTTTTAATTTTCCTGAAAATGATCTAATTTTGTTCTTTGTGGCTGAAAAGAATCCTACTGTGTCTACATGCCACATTTTATTTCTTCCTCTAGTATTGGACACCTAGGTTGGCTCTATGACTCAAGCTATTGTGGATAGTGCTGCAGTAACTATTGATATACAAGTATCTCTAGGATATGTTGACTTTTTTTGTTTTTTGTTTTTGGTAAATATTTTTCCTGGTAAATTATCTGAGAATGATCTGAGTCATAAGGTAGAGTGAATTTTATTTTGAGAAACAGCCATATTGACTTCCATAATGTTTGGATTAGTTTGCATTCCCACCATCAGCATCTAAGTTTTGTCCATATCCTCACCAGTATTGGTTTTTTACTTGTTTGTTTGTGTCTTAGTCAGGGTTTCTATTGCTGCGATGAAACACCATAACCAAAAAGCAAGTTGGGGAAGAAAGGGTTTATTTAACCTGTGTTTCAACATTGTTGTTCACAGGAACTCAAACAGGGCAGGATCCCAGAGGCAGGAGCTGATTCAGAGGCCATAGAGGAATGCTGCTTACTGGCTTGCTCCCCATGCTCAGCCTGCTTTCTTTTTTTAAATTATTATTAAGAAATTTTCTGTTTATTTTACATACCAACCACAAATGCCCCTTTCCTCCCTCCTCCCGCCCTTTCTACAGCCTTACCCCACAACCGATCCCTCATTCCCACCTCCTCTAAGGCAAGAACTCCCATGGGGAGTCAGCAGAGTTTGGTACATTTAGTTTAGGCAGTTCCAAGCCCCTCACCCTGAACCAAAGCTGTGTAAGGTGTCCCATCATAGGTAGTGGACTCCAAAAAGCCCACTTATGCACCAGGGATGGATCCTGATCCCACTGCCAGGGGCCCCTTAAGCAGGTCAAGCTAAATAATTGTCTCACCTATTCAGAGGCCCTAGTCCAGTCCCATGGAGGCTCCACAGCTATTGGTCCACAGTTCATGGGTTCCCACTAGATTGATTTGGTTGTCTCTGTAGGTTTCCCCATCATGATCTTGAAACAAAGCCCCCCCCACTCCCACTACCTCCACCCCTATCATCTCCCACACACCCCACCCCCACCCCCGTGCTCATATAATCCCTCCTCCCTCTCTGCAACTGGATTCCAGGGGTTTGGCTCATGCTTAGCTGTGGATCTCTACATCTGCTTCCATCAGTTACTGGATGAAGGTTCTATGATGACAATTAGGGTAGTCACCAATCTGATTACAAGAGAAGGCCAGTTCAGGCACCTTCTCAGGTATTGCTAGGAGTCTTAGCTAGGGTCATCTTTGTGGATTCCTGGGAATTTTCCCAGCACCAGGTTTCTCCCTAACCCCATAATGGCTCCCTCTATCAAGATATCTCTTTCAATGTTCTCCCTCTCCATCCCTCCCCCAACTCGGCCATCCTGATCCCTCATGTTTTCGTCCCCCTCCCCTCCCCTCTACACCCTCTTCCCAGTTTACCCAGGATATCTTAAACTATTTCCCCTTCTTAGGGCAATCCATGTGTGTCCCTCTTAGGATCCTCCTTCTTACCTAGCTTCTCTGGGGTTGTGGATTGTAGCCTGGTTATCCTTTGCTTTATATTTAATATCCACTTATGAGTGAGTACCTGTGTTAGTCTTTCTGGGTCTGGGTTACCTCACTCAGGATATTTTCTAGTTCCATCCATTTCCCTGCAAATTTCATGATGTCATTGTTTTTCACCACTGTGTAATACTCATTGTGTGGATATACCACATTTTCTTTATTCAATCTTTGGTTGAAGGGCATCTAGCTTGTTTCCAGATTCTGGCTATTACGAATAATGCTGCTATGAATGTAGTTGAACAGGTGTACTTGTGGTATGATTGAGCATCTTTTGGGTATATGTCCAAGAATGGTATTGCTGGGTCTTGAGGTAGATTGACTCTCAATTTTCTGAGAAGCTGCCATACTGATTTCCAAAGTGGCTGTACAAGTTTACACTCCCACCAGCAGTAGAGGAGTGAATGTTCCCCTGCAGCAAGTGTTCTTAACTTTGGAAACATCTTGCCATCCTATTACTTGCTAATGACTGCCATTTTGATAAGATGGAATCTCATTGTAGTTTTGACTTATATTGACTCTTGACAGTAGTTTTGACATATTTCTCTGATGGCTAATGAGATTGAGCATTTTAAAAAACTTTTTATTGGCTATTTATATTTAATCTTTTGAGAATTATCAGTTTATTTAATTAGGCCTTTTATTAATTAGGTTTGACTTATTGTTGGTTAGGTTTTTTGAGTTATTTGTAGGTTTTAAATATTAATTCTGTCAGGTGAATGGCCTACAAAGGCCTTCTCCCATTCTGCAGGCTCTCTCTTTACCCAGTTGTTTCTTTTAATTTGATGATGTCCCATTTATTGTTCTTGATTGACTGGAGTTCTGTTTCACTACTTTGGTCAAATTTATTCCAGGATCGTGAATGGACTGTCCTCCCTGATTTCTTAGCATGTTCGTTACTGGCATATATGAAAGCTATTGTTTTTTATATGCTAATTTTATATTCTTCCACTTTGTTTAAAAGTGTTTATCAGGTGTGTAAGAGTTTTCGGGTGGAGTCTTTAGAGTTCTTATATAGTCATGCAATCTGCAAATAAGGATATTTTAACTTCTTCCTTTCCTATTTGTAGCTCGTTTATCTCCTCTTATTGCTCGAAGACTTCAGACACTATTTTGAACAAAAGTGGAAAAACTGGACAACCTTATCTTATTCCTGATTTTAGTGGAAATTCTTGGAGTGTTTCCCCATTTATTATAATTTTGGCTGTAGTCTTGCCATATACAGCTTTTATTATGTTAAGTCAATTCTAGTCCCAGTCTTTGGGACTTTTTTAGTGAAAAGATGCTGGGTGTTGCTTGGATTCTAATCCTCCCTTGAGGGAGGGGTTGAAAAGGTGCAGCATCAACGACTCAGACACCAGGAGTCCCTTGAAAGCAAATAACAAACTCATTTATTCAATAACAGGGAAGGCCTTATATACCCTCCTCCCAACGCCCAGTCTATGTGATCGTCCCTCATTGCCTGGGCACAATCAGGAACTCTGACATATCGATTGTTGCTAGGTCCTCGGGCAGACTTGGCATGATCAGGAACTCTTGACAGCAACTAGGAACTCTGACAGCAACTGTTGCTAGGTCCTCAGGCAGACTCTGCACAATCAGGAACTCTGACATGACTAGGAACTCCGAGAGCTCCTGTTGCTAGGCCCTCTGGCGGATTCCAGGTTGGCTCTTAAGGAGTATGTTATATGCATGCCTTGACTACTAGTGTGAGCCAATTTCCTCGATCCTATGGGCCTGTCCTACTACAGCTAGGTTTTATGGAAAGACTTTTCTGTATCTATTGAGATGATCACGTGATTTCTGTCTTTGAGTGATGTATCACAGTTTTTTGCTTTTCTTTTTGGTGGAGCTTAGGTATATTTATTTCTGAAGAAATCATTATAAAACTGCTTCCTGGACTGTCACTGGCCCTATTAACTCAGTGTGCAGTGGTTCCAGCAGGCCATTCCATCTCACTCTATAGCCTCCTCCCTAGAAGCCCTTTCCAAAGAAGAGCAGGGAGCAAACATATACCATTTGGCTCCAGCTTTAATGCCCAAGGAAAGAACAGTACCCAAGTGATTTAGCTCTTGTCTCCTTTCTCATCCTAGTCCAGACTTGGGGTTAGACCTCCCTTTCCTAAGCCTTCATCATTTTCACTATAGATTGCATAGAACCTCTGTATGTTTGTGATTTCCCTTTCTTAGTCCAAAGACTCCTGGGTATGGGATCATGTTATACTAGAGAGTAGGAAGGCAGGCGTGGCCTTTCAAAACCAAGTTCATAGTAGCTGGGCTGAGGGGCTAGAAAACTACCTTAAGATTTATTCCATTCCTTTCAGAGTTCCCCAACTCTAAGATCATTTGCATGAAAATATGCTAAAGATTTTCAAGAGTGAGATGGGGAAGGAAGGGAACCCCAACCCTCCATCCAGGATCTGAGTCCCTCTAGCAAGGAATGATGGCTGAGGGATCCAGACTTAGGAGCAGAGGGAAATCAGGCTCTCTGAATACACATAGGAACCTGGTGTGGCCAGAGGGTGCTGCCAGGAAAAGGGAGGAGCTGGCCTAAGATCACCCAGAAAAAAAGACAAGGCTTGACACTTGTCTTTTGTCTCCTGGGCCTCTTCACAACTTGTGTAACCTCACAAGTCCTCTGACTTGTCCTTCTGATAGCACCTACTCTACACAGTCTTTCTGACACTGGCTGTTGAGGGACAACACCAAGTCTCCAGCACCCTAAGAC